CGTCAGAGCTCACTACACAAACGGCCATACATATAAAGGCATATAATTATAATCGCTGATAAATGTTTCATACTAATAAACACTTAAAGAGAACAAGAGGAGCATGGAATGGATGAGGGGACGGGCATCGGGAATCGGGGATCGGGATTGGGATCGGGACGTGTGACGCTAATGACACTTGGCTCCATCGTTGTCGGTTGTCCGTTGTGCTGGGCAAAAATGAAATGATTTGTGTGAGAGATTGCATGCCTCGCAGTGATTTGTGATTTGTGTGTTGAGAAATGCAATTTTAAACGGAGGGGAACTTGCAACCGGCAGCTTGATAAGCCGCAGCACTGTCATCAGCGGCATCCAGCACTTGATAGCTCTATTAATGGCACGCCAGAAGACCCCTCCAGATTACCCCTTCGACCGACCACCGACCGCCATCTATCTCTATCTGTCTCTCCGAATTGCAGTTGGAAGGAAATCCAAAATGAATGAATGCGAAAATAATGAATAATAAAAGTCAAGACTACATGATTTTTAATGTTTCGCAGCGAATGAATGGCCGACGCTAGCATTGAGGTTAAAAAACAAATCAAAAATAATCATAAAAAAAAACAAACGAGAATAAGACAGAAAGATCTCCCTGTCCCTGTCTCGCTGTCTCGCTGTCTCTCGGTGTTTCTTATCAACTTTGTGGCTGGAGTGATCGTCCAGCTGTGTCCAATTTATTCAACCGCCAGTGTTGTAGATCCATAACTATATTACGGCGATAAGTGCAAAGCTAGACAAATTCCAAGTCAAAGTCAGCGACCAACCGACCACCCATGAAACACGATTCCCATCCCATGCCGCATCCGCATCAGGATGAGCCGCCCTAAAGGAAGTCCGCTGTTTGTCAGGAGTCGCAACCCTCCGCGGCGCGCCGTGTGGCAGGCAGCAACAATGAAGCGTTTGTTGCCGCTGTTGGTGTTGCTTGTTTGTCAACTTCCACCGCTCCACCCCACTGCTATCCTATCCTCTCAACCGAAGCTGTTCCTTCTGGTGTTGATGATTCTGTTGATGTGAAGGCCACCTTACCCCCCCAAATGGAGAGCAGCTCTATGCGCAGCCCGAGAGCCCAATCCCCGAGCTTGGGAAATTCGATGCGCATTCTATTCATTGGCGTGTCGGCCCAGAAATATGATAATGTGAATGAGCAAACGAGAGGCAGAGCAGAGCAGAGCAGAACAGAGCCCAAAAAAAAAGCAACAGTCAGTTCGTAAATTTTCATTGTAAAATAAGAAGTGCCGAGCGCCCTGGTCCTGCTCCTGCTCCTGCTCCTGCTCCTGTCGTGTTTTTTTAGGGGATGAAGATGTATTGCCTTTTGTGCTATTTGACGTAATGTTACATAAGCTCTGGTGCCTGCCTCTGCGGCCCTTCCCTGATTCTCGTACCCATTTCCATTCCCATTCCCTGATTCCCATTCCCTGCTCCTCATTATGAAACATCGTATTTCTGTTTCAAATTTTTATGATTGTGAAACTTGGTGTGGTCCCTGGCACAGAACCCAAACCCGAACCAAGTCCCGGGTGTTAGTTAGGCCCAATCATACGTGCAGCAGCTGGTGCGGGGACTCTTTATGCGGGGATTTCGGGGTTCGGTTCGGTTCGGTTCGGTTCGGGCTCGAAAACAGATATGGGCAATTTCTGCCAGCCGGGTCTTCTATTCAAGAGTTTTTTTTCTTCTTTTTCATATTTTGTTAATGCGTAAAATTTTAATTTCATTTTTTGTGATCATCGTTGAGGGGGGAAATTGTGTCATCGTTTCTGACAAAAGAGTTAAAAAGTTGCGGAAACAGTGATCTATATCATACTGGTGCGAATGGAAGGTTATTCGTGGGGTCAAAGGGTGGGAGAAAAGCTGCTTTCAATTGAAGAGTGATCGGGCCTTGGTCTCTCTCTTCGCTTGAATTTGCATGCGGAATCTGCCAGAATTTTCACTTCCTTTCACAGAGCCCGAACCGAATGTAATACAATTAAAAGCCAGCTCAAAAGAATGGGAGTGAGGCAAATGCTTTCACATTTCACATCGCAGCCCAAGAAAAACTCCCAAGGCAAAAATCCCTGAGAAAAACTGTCAACGGATCCGTGGGCCCCGGGGGGCAACAAATGGAAATTGTCTAATTGTGCGTGGCAAGATAACAAACAGAGTTAGAGCTTCCTGTTATTGTTACCCGGGCGAGTATTCCTTTGCCCTTCAGATGTGGCCCTGGCTCTGGCTCTGGCTCTGACTGTGGATGTTGTGGTAGCTGTAACACATTTCATCAATGTAAATATCAAGAGCAACAAACGGAAGATAATCGCCTTAGTGCTGGAAAAAGTGCACTCCAAATAAGGTCAGCAGCAGCAGAGGAGGAGGAGGATTTAAATGCCACAATGACAAAAACAAGCTGCCACACGGACAGATCCGCTGCCATGAACAACCCTCCCGGCATGGCTTTAAAACTGTAACAATTGGCAATTGTGTGGGTCTTGCGGCTTGACGAACTCCGAGAGCCGAGCGGAAAGGATAACACGCACTTCTGGGACCAGCCCTCCCTCTCCCTCTCTCTCCCTCTCACTCTCTCTCACTGTGTTGCCACCCGGCGACCCGCTGCCATGAAAGTTAATTTACGTCACGCAGCATTTTCAATCAATGTCAGGCGGAGGGTAGTCGGAATCAAAAAGGGGTTGCTGCTGCCCGCCCGCCTGCTGTTCTTGTTTATTTTCATTTTCGATTCTATTTTTTCATCAAATTGATCTCGTTTTGATTTGCATTTAAGAGCGCGACACTTGACAAGTCGCCGTGTGCAAATAAACACATTGAACGCAGTACAAAATACACAAAATACTCGACACCCGTCTTAGGGGTCTTTAACAGGGCATTACCGTCAAGTGTGACGGGTCTGGGCCTGGGCCTGGTCTGGCGACCCTGGCAGCCATTTGCTCATCACCATCGTCAGGTCGAGACAAGTCGAAAATTTCAAAATATTCTTTAATTGAAACTCTCCTCTGATGGAAGATGGAAGAACTTGTGGAGTTGTGGCTGGACTTGATGAGGGTGCCATATAATTATGCCGACTCCCGAGGTCTGCGGCTGTCAGCCACATAGACGGGGTTTTTATAGGGAAATCTATCGTTTGGTTGACGCCCAACACACACACACACTCTCTCCCTATTGCTGGGGCTATCTATCCACGAGTGTGTATAATTATGGTCAAAATTAAAGACCAAAAAGATCTCTTTTTCTCTCATTGAAGTTGTTTCCCACTTAGGGAGTTCCCCCTCTACCCTGACCTCTCCGCGCATACAATTCGGGGGGGGAATTTCGGGGCAGGACACGCATCCTTGTGCAGTGAGGTTTTTCCTTTGTCGGGGCATGAAATTCCTGTCAAAATTGATAAAAATCACATTTTCCATTTGAATAACATTTTACGAATTCGTGCATAAAATTACGACAGAGAAAAGTATCCCTCTCCCAGTCCCCCTCTCTCTCTCTCTCACTCTCCCCTGTGCTCTCTGCAGTGGAATTTCTGCAGCTCGGAATATTCTTTGGTAACCACATTCCTTTCATTCCACTCCATTCCGTGTCCCCCCCGCCCCTCTCCAGAACAGGGTTGCCATGTCTACTTAAAATGTGGAAAATATCTATTTGCTACGCCCGAAATACGCGCCGCAAATTTCGCCAGACAGAGAAAGGGAGATAGAGTGAGAAGAGAGAAGAGAGAGAGAAGTTTTCTTGCCATTTTCTTATCGCCGCAGCAGCAACAAAATGTACAAAATTAACATGAAAATTTTGCGCGTTGGCTGAAATTATTCAACTGTAGATAATTTTCATTGGCAGAGGGAGACAGGGAGAACGCCAGAGCGAGAAGGCGATAGAGAGAGAGAGTGCACTGCTTGAACTATGCCAAAATTTAATTTGTCTACAAAGTCAGGCGACGTGTCGCGACGTGTAGATAAATCAATCAAAATGGCGCGCCAGAGCAGAGCACACACACACACACACGCACGCAGGCACACATACTTGTGCCCATAAAAGTTTCGTTTCTGTTCGGCTCGCTTTAAAGTTGTGTCCGAGCGAAAAATTTGACGTCAACGTCAATGGATTGGCTTCGGAACGCCTCCTCCCAGCTCGGAGAGCCTCGAACCGCGTTCGTCTGCCCCCCCCTCCCCAACCCCTCGTGGTCTGCTGTGGTCAGTGGAAACTGCATTATCACCTTGGACCCCCACTCAGCCTTTTGGAGCAGAGCAGAGCGGAGCGGAGCGACGAGTGGCCCAAGAGTGTCTTTTTCGAGTGGTGCTTGGGCCGGGGCTTTTGTTTTTGTTGCCGCCACAAACAAAGGGGAAAACAACGCACTCACACACACACCAGACACACACATAGAAGAGGAAAAAATATATAATATTATTTTTGCCTATCACCATAAATAATTCACCTGACCCACCCCCTCGAAGCCGCCAGAAGAGTCTCCCCCTCCTGCACTCGCTGGATCTTCAAAAAGAAGCGCCAAGTGCAAAGTCAGTCGCACTCGAAAAAAATATTGAAAAGCAACAAAAACAAAAATATGACCAAGAAATACTAAAAAAAAATACACATAAAAATCTTTTCAAGTTGGCGTGGCTGGAGAGTTGAGTCGAGGGCTCCACAGAGCCCCACGAAGACAGGCAGTCTAGGGTCTCCCCATCGTCTCGATCTTAGGGCTGTCCCTATGAGTAGTCTGCGGATCCAGTGCTCAAGTTGTTGCTGTTGCTGTTGCTCTTTTGTCAAGTTGTTGGATGGATGGGGCATGCTCAAAGCTTTGGCGGCACTTGAAACTGAGGCAAACAACATAATCAAACCAAAGAGAGCGAAAGACCTGTCCAACAGCCTCAAGAGGTGCGAGCGTGAAGTGTGTAACACATTCAATAGGGATTAGGGCGATCATCCAGATAGACTTTGGGCAGTGATTAAGATATCCCCTTCCCCAAAAACAAATATAGATTAGGACTTACCAGGGTCTGATGTATCTAGGACAGGTGGCTGCTGTGACAAGGGACCCGGTGTACTACCAGCGCCCGGCGATCGGGCGTCGTCGTTCATTGCTCCGCCATAGGACAGCGATGAGCTTGGCGGCCGCTGCAAGTAGAAAATAATAGTAAATTAATACCGTATCGTACTCGTATATGGTATAGTAATGGCGGGATAGAGACACTAATGTGTGGCATAGATCAAGAGCCAGAGGCATGCGTTAGCTGTTTGTTAGAATTGATTACAAATTGGTTATAAATGTCGCTTTAAATTGACACGCCTGCCCATTAAATGAGGCAGACGATATGGCCCGAAGTGGCTCGAGCTCCAGCTCCAGCTATTGCTATTGCTATTGCTATTTCCATGGCCAATGCCAAAGGCAGACATTGTCATGTCTTGTCCGGATTCTTCCGCCTCCCCTCCCCCCCCCTCCCGTTCCATCCCGTCTGACTGTCTGCACGACTGTCAAGTTGTCAAAACTGCCACGGCCTGGCCATATTGTGGCCAAACAAATGCTCAAGATTGTCGTGGCCTAGGCCTAGACCAGAGACCCAGCCACAGACCTGGCCCGAACAGAACAGAGCACAACAGACAAGACACAACATCGTGTGCAAAAATAAATATAGCTTTATATATATATGTATATACTATATAAGTTATCAAATTAATATGCAGCGACTGGCTCTGACTCTCTGACCGTCTTCTAACTAGGAGTAGACTCGACTCGTCTTCATCACCAGCCCCATCATCGTCATCGTCATCGTCATTGGCAGAGGCAACGGGCAACGGGCAACGGCAACAGGCAGAGGCAACAACCATCGACAACCGACGACAACGACAACGACGGCATATTAAGCGCTGCTAAAAACTTATGCAGAAACCAAAAATGTCAATGTCCAGGTATCGTTCGTGGCCCCTCCCCTGCCCCCATGCTCCCTGCCCCCATGCTCCCTGCTCCCTGCTCGAAATCGATCGGTAAGAGCAATTTAAATTCTGCTAATAACAAAAATACAAAACCCGGGCATTAATTTCATGCACGTGCAACCAGGGGGCGCACAGGGGGAGTGGCTCCGGCTCTGGCTCTTCCAGCTACAAATTTTTAGCCATAAAATTATTATTTTCCCAAGCTCGTAAAAATTCTTGACTTTCGAATACAATAAATTCGAGCGGCCTGCTGGAGTTCGTTTTCGTTTTCGGTGGAGATTCATTTGGCATTCGAGTCACAATTCGTGTGTTTTCGCTAAATATTTGTTAAATCGCATATTAATAGCGCCCTGCTATAGACAATTTGTCGGTTGTCTTATAATTGTTATTGTCGGGGGGGGATGGGTGTGTGTCCCCCCCCGCCACCTCCTCCCGGCAGTCATAAATTTTGATTTGCTAGATAAATGCTGAGAGACCAATGAACTGTGATAAATGTATGTACGTGGCAGATAATCCTAAGATATGCTTAGACGATAGATGATAGATGATATCTTGGCCAAGTTCCAATAGATTGGATCGGATCGGTTCCTGCTTTTCCCACTACTTTCAATTTCAAACACACTCCGCCCGGCGGCACTCTGGCAAATCTATTAATAATTAGACAACGTTGTCTGCATTTTAAACAACAAACTCACTCCCTTTTCCACCTTTTGCACTGTTCTATGCCGAGTTATGGGCCATAAGGTGTCTCTTGATAGTCGCATAAACAATTTCCACTATAAAACGAGTCGCTCGGGTCGGACCCGCCTGCAATTGTAGCAATTGTCGTTGTTCTGTTTATGGCTTATAAACAAAGTATAAAAAAAGCTCAACTTTGGACTGACCGCAAACTAATTTGTTGTTGGCTCCGAATGGAACTATTTAATTAGCGCGGAGCTGGGAAAACCAAAGTCAAATAATACGGCTATAAAAAAGATAAAACACAACGACTTTCCTTTTATGACATTGACATTTGATAGGCCTGTCGGTCTGTTGGCCCGGCCGAGAGTCTGGCTCTGGGACCTGGTCGAATCTTTCACACTTGCCGCACATTCCCTGCATTTTTTTCTTTTTCTTTTTTTTTGGTGGAAGGGAAGGTTGTTCTGAGCCGAGCTTGGGCGGCTTTCGAGGCGATTGAAAGTGTATCGGGTGACGGCTCGAGTGTTGGCCAGGTCTTTCTCGCAGGCGTGCGGTGCGCTTCCTGGTCCGTGCTAAATGCCAGGCGTGCTCCTTGGACGGCAGAGGACATGCCGGAGGACCAATCGATGCGTGCATTAATTACATTTTCAATTAGCCAGCGGTGCCAGCAAATGAAGCTATCGAATTGCCTTTGTCCCTTGCATGTCCTGTGACAATTATTATCGAATATCGGTTTTATTTAAATGATGCCCTGCCTATGGGGGCGACAGCTTTTAATATTAATGAAAGCGTCCCCACTTCCGTCCCCATCTAACCCCAATTCCGATTCCCTGTCACGTAATGTTCGGCCTCCGCTCCGCTCTCCGTCGCCTTCCGGAGCAAAAGGAAACTTTTTCACTTATTTTTTTTGAGAGTGGGAGACCCTTTGGGTGCATTAAAATGATCAAGAAACAATTTTCGTTTACCTGCCGGGGGCTGGGGACTGTCTAAATTATTTATTTAATGCCCACTCCCAGGCCTCCCATTCCGCGCCATTCCGGGGGAGTCGCTAAATTTTTGATGCCACAACGACACAATTGTGTGCTCAAAATTCAGATATGACCGCAAGTTTCTATGGGGCCAAGCGGGCCATAAAAAAACCATCAAAAAGTAGAGCCCCATTCGTGGGGAACTTTGCTCAATTGTTTTGGGTTTGCACTTCATTACGGGCCGGGCCAGAACTTGGACTGGGCGTGCGGTCAGTGCGAGAGAGAACTTTCCGAGCGACTGCTCTAAGTCGTCTCAGCTGCTGGAGAGACTCGTAATTGCCAGAAGGTAGGGGGGATTGTGGGGGGGTGCTATATCGACGTTCGACGCGTGTCATGAGGGTCCCACCCAAAAAGTCAAAACATGCAATTTCCACTGAGAGCAGAAGTGGAACTCTATAATTTCGGGAATCACAGCTCCTTGATGGTTAATCACTACAATCAACAGTTGGACCGACGGGCAAAACAATCAAATTATGGCCAGAAAACTCAGTTAGTTCGGCGCGTGGGAAGTTTTCTTATATGGGGCGTGGCCGCACAGAGAGAGAGAGAGAAAGAGAGAGGGAGAGATTTACTCCCTTGTAATTGCCCGGCAGCCGTGTGCCGGAGTCCTGCGTTTGACATCTGAGAGGGGTTCCGATGGGGTGTAGGCCGCTGCGTGCCCTGCGGCGGAGGCTGAATCTGAATCCGAATCCCGAGTCTGAGTCTGGCCGGGATTAGGACTTTGCTTCGGGCTCATTTCACAATTAAAAATACAAACTACGGCTTAACTGAGAACAGGAATGAGAGTGGGAATGGGAGTGGGACTGCCGGAGAAAAAACTGCAATAATCATTGGTTTCGGGTATTGTTTGTTCAGTCCGTGCCAAGAGGACGTGAAACATATTTTTCTCTATTTGTCGGCAAACACTCGGGTAGACAGTCGAACAAGCACCCTCTGCCGTGGATATCCTTAGAGCAAATAATTAAATCCTTTTTACACGGCCGCATCGAATGAAAGTTCTCTGTGTGTGCTCTTCATGCGGTTTTTGGTTTCCGTTTCGCAGGCTTCTCGAGGACTGTCGGTAGATGTCTGGATGTGGAAGAAGCCAAGACCAAAACCCCAATCCGAGGCAATCCCTGACGGCTGTTGGTTTTGATGGATTTGCCGTTGGGTACAAAAGCTTTTGTTTGTCTGTTTGTGTCATGTTTGTTGTTCCTGATTCTCATGCGGCTGTTGTTGCCTGCCCCTGCCCCTGCCCTGCCCCTGTGCTCAAGCGCCCTCCAGCTGAAGGCTTAGACCAAGACTCCGGCCTGGCGTCTTTTGCCCCCCCATTTCAGGGGTGGGTGCATCTGGCTTTGGGGGTTCACAGGCTGCTTAATTAACGGTATAGAAGAGTGCCACCCATGGCACCCCTTTCGGTGGAGTGTCGGAGTGCCACTTGAGGAGCAGCGGCAGCGGCAGCGGCAGCACCAGATGTTGTTGTTGCCACCTTTTGTGTATTTAATTGCGCGCATGGCATTTAATTGTTTTTCAAATTTGCTCAACTTGTAAAATGTTTGTGCCCCACCCCCCCCCCCCCCCCCCAAACACACTCACATATGTGTGTGTGTGTGTTTGCTTGCCATTTTGTGTGAGGGTTGAATTTTTAATTAAAGCTCCTGCCTGACAGTCGGAGAGGTGCAAACTCGAAGGAGCAACGAGAGAGACCAATGGGTGAAACAATTCAATATGGCTGACAGTAGCTCCGTTACCCGCCTTCCCCTCTCCACTTATGGCATGCAAATTGCTTTAGTTAGAAACACACACACACACAGATGTGTATGAATACTTATGGCAGGGCGTGTGTGTGGGTTAGTGCTGAGGTATAATTTCAATCAAATGGCAAGTTAATTACACACAATTATTTTGAACATACTCAGACAGAGGCAGACACCCCCAGATACCCCCGACACCAGACAAACGGCAAGGAACGAAGGCTTTAAGCCTTAAATTAGTCGAGACACTGGGATTCGAAATGGAAAAGGTTTTTAGAGGAATGAAAAATTTCTTTATAAATTATACAAAATATTTTAATCAATGGAAAATTATTTCTTTTTAAAAAATCGCAATGTTCTCAGAAAATATCGTGCATCCTTGCACTAAATTCTAGAATATGCTTTAATTTTCCATCCTTAAATATTGTCTACTTCCTGTCACTAAGTATTCCTGGCTGCGGGCTCCTATCATATCTATGGAATTCAACAATAAAAAAACAGCCAACTACAATCTAATTTTCGAACCCTCCAGAGAGGTATCATTGATTCTCCCTAGAGTGGCAACATTTTAATTTCGTGTCGAAACACTCGACATAATTAAACTAAGCCAACAAAAAAACACAAGAACACTTTCTAGATACAACAGAGAAAAAGCCAGACTGCGGTCATTACTCATACGCCACGGTGTGCCGCTCTTCCTCTTGTGGCCATTATCTAACCATAAAGCTGAACCGAAAAAATCTTT